ACGACTTTCCATCCGAGGACTCACCTCCCTTAGATTCAGCGGGAACTTTTTCCATGAGTGGTACCGTCCAACCAGATTCAACGGCCTGCCACGTGCCTTTACCAAGAGGCCGAAGAAAGGTCACCATCATGGATTTCAGTATGAGTAACTGGAGCCATCAAGGAATGGAGGGCGTGAAACGGACATTCCATCGTGATTCATGATGAACGTCACACAGTCCCAAAGATCTTTATCCCGTAGTTAGAACAGGAACACTGCTCTGGTGCCAATTGAAACGTATAATTAATTGCGAGTGCGCGAAATATAGTACGAACAAGATCAGAAATCGTAAATGCAGAAGCAACAAGCCGAAGATTTAAACAACTCTTCAGGGAAGCGTCCCACTTCCCCTCAGAGCTCTTTCATTGATAAATCGTACAACGACATAGTTTGGACTTACAAGACTCGAACTCCCTTCTAGTCTAGCCACAACTACTCACGATCCTATCAAATATTTCTCTAGTCACGTCCAGTGGACTTTTTACTAACACTTAATCCCTAAGTGTGCTGTGTGAAAGTGTTTGAGAAAAACTAAGCAAAAACAAAACCAAACAACTTCAGTTCTGGGACATGTAAGAACCCGAAAAACTGAACTGTAAAACAAAGAATACAAAAGTAAAACTGAAGCTCGAATATTGCTAGGGTAAGTGAATAATTGCAGCAGTCTTATTTGATCTTCAAGATAGGGTATTTATACATCCTCTTAGGCGTGGAGTCTTTTCCAAGCAAGATAACTCCTTCTTGAGATTTTCTTCCAAGAATAAGTACCATGAGTTTTGGTAAGTGGATCTCCTCTTCTCTCTCTCTCTATGATCTCCTCTACATGCATGTCTCCCTTTCCTTTTACCCATAGAATCCGATTTCCTACAGAAAAGATACCATAATAAGATCCATGCAATCTTATATATACACACAAAATAATCTAAGTAAGGAAATAATATAAACAAAGATCTTCCTTTTTTCTGTGGTTCCAGGTGCTTGTTCGAACATGAGAAATAATGCCAAATAAAAATATCTTTAGACTTTCACTCACGAAACAAGAGAATAAACATAAACGAACAATTATCGAATCAATTAGCACATAGACAATACATTTCCGAACAAGTCTATTCTTAACGAGCCTAGATCGATCGATTTTTCCTCTTTCAGTTCTAAAAATCGATTTACTAGATTAGGATGGTTATCAATCATCTAACCCTAGGATAAACACAACTCACAAAGACATAGCAATTACCATTCACGTAAACGAAAACGAACCGGAACAATTATCCCCTAACCCTAGTTAACGAATCTAGCCACTCATTGCAATTTCAACACAAGCATTCACAATTAAACAAGCCATCAAATTCATAAACAAAATGAAAAGAAGTGCTTACGATTAATATCAAATCCAATGTCGAGAAGCAACGAGCAATCCAAATCCCAAATGATAAATCTTGGAGTTTTTACTCTCCAAGATTGAATCCTAGTGAAAAAAAAAAGAGAAAATTATGTTCTTGGTCCAGAGAAAACGAAATTACAATGTTCAAGAATGAGGAAATATGCCATAGGCTCGATCTTTTTTATTCCCATTCAAAATCCCGAGGAAAACACGGCTGTTACGAAACAGGGGTTAGCGCTGCTAAGGTCTGGGGGTCGTTAAGCCATGTAACGCCACTAGCTGGGCCCGCCTTAGCGGCACTAAGGCCTGGGCAGCTTCTAAAACTTGATGTTTCAGGCTCGGGTGCTCTCGGCTAGCATCACTCGATTCTGCCCGAGCTGGAAAACTCAATTCCCGCGTGTTTGAGTCGTACGAACCAGCCTGGAACTCCTAGGAACCGGAACCGAATGCCGCTTTCATCATCTGAAACCTGAAACCACCATAATCAGACAACCCAAAAGCAAAAGAAAATAGGAAAAAAACAAATAAAATACTAAACACACCTAAATAATACTAAAACACGAGAAACAAATAGAAAGACCGGAATAAATCCTAAAAAATAACCTAAATCGTGGAGAACGACACACAAAATACCAACAAAAATAGCAACAATAATGGGACAAACATCGATAACTTTTTAGAAGAATATCGTCCACGTAGACCTCTGTGTTCCTTCCAACTTGATTTTTGAAAATCTTGTCTACCAGCCTCTGGTAGAACTCTCTCTCATTCTTAAGCATTACCATATAACATTACGTACATTTAGACGTTACGAAACCTACTCGCTTTTAGTCCTCCACCGCTAGAGGTATCTGGTGGTCTCCTTGCAAGGCATCCATAATGCTGAGGAGTTCGCAACCTACTGTTGAGTTCACCAACTCAAGGTAGCAAATAATGATTCTTAGGATAAGCCTTATTGAGATCTCCGAAGTCGATGCATACCGCCATTCCCCTCACCATTCTTGACCATAACTGAATTGGATAACCACTCTGGAAATTTTATGGACTTTATGTGACTAGCCTTTAAAAGCTTGTCAATTTCTACTTCAATGACTTGGTCAAGCTCCGTACCAAAGTGCCTTCTTTTCTACTTTACCCATTTCACTGGAATATCGATATTGAGTTAATGTTTGACAACTTTCGAACTTATGCCCGTCATGTGATATGCAGAGAACTCAAAGACGTCCACGGACTCTCTTAAATAATCGATTATCGCGACCTGAATGTCTTCATGGAGGTGATGACCTTCTTTGGTGACTTTACCTACCTCCTTCTCTTTAAGCTCGACCTCTATAAAGTCGTGTTGCAATGAGATCTAAAGCTTCTCTTGTTTATTGCTTTTGCTCGAACTTTTGGGGTGATTCGCCTTTAGGCCTTTCTTTGATCCCTAGGCTTTTGAGCTCTTGCATAACTTGATAGCACGTCCTGACATGTCGCTGGTCTCTTGAGACCTCACCAACCTGGTCCCCTACTAAAAATTTAACCTTCAAGTAGTACGATGATATTGCTTCAAGCGTTCAAACTAGGTTGCCCTTAGAATGACGTTGTAAACCAAGGTGGAATCTACCACCAAAAATCTGATTAATCTTTCCTTGTTTAAGGAAAATTGACCTAGCACTACTGATAGGTACACCTCGCCTACTAGCTTGACCTTGTCTCTATTAAATCCATATGGCAGTTGTGTCGAATTGCTCAATTTCAGTCTTTAGGTCGATCTGCTTTAAACACTGCAACGAAATGATGTCGACTAAGCTACTCGTATCCACCATGACTCTCTGTACCACATAACTCTCAATCTCTTCAATGATAACCAGGGAATCACTATGCGGTGTTGAGGCACCCCGGTCGTCTTCAAGCCCAAAGCCTAAGGTGACTTCGGGTTGCTCGCCTTGGATCCCCGCGATCTTCCCCAATGATCTGCTACAAGTGTCGCCTTTCGGGGAATCCTTCTGTTATCACTTGAATTTCCTTACCATTCGATGTTGTCACTAACACCTTAGATGTTTTTTCTGAAAAACTACTTTCTGAATTTCTTGATTGTGAGAATTCGATCAACACCTTATAGAAGGTAAAAGACTGACTCTTCCTACAGACGTTGCTAATTTTATGTCACTTCGATCTTGAACGGTGTTGAATTTCCTACTCCGTGAACTTCCTTCTCCTTTGAGCTCCCGTGACCTACAATATGTCGGGAGGTTGTCTAAGCGGAAAACCTCTGACGCTTAAGTCAAAACTTTCTCAACGAGAACATACGTGAAAATACAACTGAAGGCGTAAGATGTGATATCCTAATGAAATATAACTTGACACCCTTATATAGAGTAGATATCTTGATGCCCAAAAAAGTTCTTATTAGGAAAGAGATCTCACAAAATTACATTTTATAACTTACCATGTCTCTATTTTGGAAAGTCTCCTTAGCATGTAATACTTTCCCTCTTATGATTCCTCCTTACTGTGCAGCGTTTAGGTCCCGAAGTCATAACCACTCCTGCATGCTTGCTGCGGCTTAGCCGAGGTCGAATGTGACATCCTTCTGAGGTCGAACCTCACCTCAGTTCTTATGAGCTCAATACCTTGCTGTCAGGTTTCTTGTTTGTCCTCCTAGAGGTCAATCTTGCATGCCCTCTTTTTTTTTTTTTTTTTCAGGACGGCCAATAATTTGAGCTCGAATACAAGCTCCTTGACTGTTTTACTTACTTCTTAACAGGTTTGAGCTCTCTTGGACCGGCCTAGCTGAACTGACTGCTCAATCCGACCTGCTGAGCTACTCTAAGTGTTACATCATAATTTAACATTGAAATTCTAGGTTACCGATAGCGCGGAACTTCTCCGCCTTCGGCTTCAACCGACTAACCCCTTATCCAAAATTAGTGAATATATAACCTTTTATATTATTCATCTTATTCCTTTTCACAAAACTCTTGATTTATTTAAAGTTTTTGTTTGTATTTTCAATATGAAATTATTCCAAGTGTTTTTTCTTGAATGAAACTGGCCAAAAATTAAAATTATTATACTAAATTATAATTCTTAACAGTCAATAGACAAAAACAAAAACCAATATATAATGAACTAAATTTGCATTTTATTTTATTTAATTTTTGCAAGCACAACCTTAATAATAGTCATATATATAATTAGTCCCAAAGACTGTAAACAACTAAAGTGATGAAACAAATTAACTTTGTCTCATACCCCCACATGACCACCACCACCACCTCCACATTTGCTGCCACCCCATTTACATTCTCATCACAAAGCAATGATCAACAAACAAATCCCACTTTATACACTTTACCCCATATTGATTTAATGTCCACCATCTTCTTACTTTTTCCCACTCAAATCATAAACCAAAAAGACTTTACCCACTCACTACATAATAATAATAATAATAACAATCACACTCCACATAACTCATCATCATCAACACCACATACATTTAACAATCATTAGCATCACAATGTCTTATAATTTCCATGTTCTTGCAATTGCAATCCTCCTAACATCAAACCCAAGCCCTTGTCATCAACTCTCCATGGAAACAACAACCGCCGGTATTTCTGCCGCGCCGGCTTTGCTGCCCGATTTTCCGTACACCGAGCTGTCGCCGGAGATCGCTCCGCTTCTGCCCACGCAGGGCGGACCGGCCATCCCGACCATCCCGTCCACTCGTAGCCCGAACCCGGACACCATCGCCGCCGTGGGGCCCGACACGGCCGCATTCCCACCGACCGGCCCGTTAGAGGGTTCTTCTGCGGTTTTGAGCCGAGGGCTCATGAAGCTTGAAGCCTTTTCTGGTTTGTTGGGTTATTGGCTTGTGATGTTGCACTTGGTGTGAGCCATTGTTGTTCTGGTTTGATTTTGTTTGTGATCATCAACTTATTTGCTTTTCTTTAGGCTTTCTTTTAATTACCACTTGTTTTTTTTTTAGTTTTACTTTATTCTTGATCGGTACATATATTAATGTGATGTTAGGATAATAATATTAATGAGAGATGTTACGGTCTCGTCTCGAAATTATTTTTTCGGGGTTTGTAACTGTTAGATCAACTATTATCATCGGTTACGGTTACAAACTCTCACGGAATGGTATCGATTCCGATGATACCGTAACGAAATTGTAGCATTAATATTATTAATAATAGTAATGAATATTCGCCATAATCAAAATTTTTAGTTTGAAGCTGAAAGAACAGCTCAAATTGAGACCGCTTTGTACCGTTTTGATCAGCAAGTCAACTTTTTTTTTTTCTTTAAGGTGATAAAAGGTTAAAAAGCAAAAAACATGAAAAAAAAGAGAGTTGGGCTTTCCAGATAAGTATATTTGTCGCGACCTTTGGTGATAGTAGCTGGAGTCTATTGTTTATATATATTTTATTTAGTGTGACATGAAATTTTGTAATAGTGTTAGGAAAGGGTGCACATGATTGTATCCGATGACACTGTGCACAACGGGGTCCACATTCTTGTCCTGCCTAGTTTTCATTATTACTTGCATTTTGCAATGTATACTATCTGCGGTATAATGCATCTCCAACCGAATACCTCATACTTAAACCCATTTTATTGTAATTATCTTATTTTGCAGTAATTCATCTCCAGTTAAAAAATTAATTCTTCAACTCAAAAGAATATTCTCGGAATATTCTCTTTTACATCAACTTTTACAATTTTTCAATACTCTCCACATATTTTATAACTTTACAAATTAAACCACACTGTTATTTTCAAGTCAATTTGAACTATATGTAATAAACTAATTATAAACTTATAATTGTATACATAATAAAATAGGAGAATAAATAGTTATTAAAAACTAAAATTTTAAAACTATAACGCACAAGATGATAAATTAAAAATTACAATAATCAAGTAACAATATATAGTCTTTCAAGTCTCGGAATTGGTGAATTTCTCTCCTAAATGATCAATTAGTGCATTTCGAAGTACAATGTGATCATCTTTATTTCTATTTTTTTTGGAGCGAGATATTAATTCTTGAAATCGAGTACTTTCATCTTTATTTCTAATTATTTCAATTTGTATTAGTAATGTTGTTATTTAATGCTAGTGTTTTTTTTTTCTTGTTAAATAAAAATACCATAAGAATATATATTTTAAATTATTAATGTGAAATATTTAAAATTAAATGATAGATATAATATTTATTATTCAAATATTATACTATCTAATTTTTATGAAATTAATTTTTTATTATTTTATATTATTTTTATTATTTTGAATAAATATATAAGTAATGTTCATTAATTTAATTACCATATAGTCCAAATTAAAAAGGAAGGGACTAAAATGAAATAAAAAAAAAGAAGATGAAAAGATAAAAAAAAGGACTATAATGATAAAAAAAAAAGATGAGACGCAAAAATTTGCGTCAGACGCAAATTTGCGTCCAAAAGGAGAGAGAGAAGAGAAAGATCGCATTTTGCGATCGGAATTGCAGCTCGGTTGGAAGGTTTTCTACTGCAAAATTTGGGGTTTCCATCTCGGTTGGAGACAGTCTAAGTAGTGTAGTGCAAGTACGTTAGTGCAAATATGTAACTAGTGTGATGCACGAGCTGTTTTTATTTAACAAATATTATAAATTAAAGTGTATTAATAAATAACATAGTAAATTATTCAATCTTCATCACAAAAGAATTACATATTATTAAAAACATCGTTGTACACAATATTATTAGTTTGATTATTGTGCAACTCGTTCCGACAAACTAATATTTTTAACTCATTTCTATTAGTTACACGTGAGGTAAGAACATATAACTGGTTGTGACTAAACAAACGTTTCTTCAAGAATAGGTCAACTTGCGATAAAGACTGACCCTAACTCTTGTTTATGGTTGAGACATACGAAACCATAAGTGGAACTACTGCCACTTGAACTTAAATAGAACCCTAAGATCGAAAGGAGTTATATTCATTATTGGAATCAACACCTCTCGCTAGCGTGATCTCCTGTCAATATCTTGCACTTGAGCACATGAGTAGAGAGTTTGGTCACAATCAATCGTGTCCCATTACACAATCTAATAGAATGGCCTATATTCATAACAACATGACAAGAGTTCTTATTTTCAATTGCAATTCATGATTCGATGTCCCGAACACTTGATGCTATTCAAGAATTCGGGCGTGTAGAAATCTACCAAGAAGTCATTTTCGGAATTTGACTTAGAAGTATTGTTAGATCACAAATACGTGCGACCTTATGCAAAATTAATCTCTGACATGTATTGATTGATAGACTCAATGACCTCCAGTGTAGGCGCTAATATAGACAAATCCTTCAAAAAACTTGGATCGCCAGTTGCATTCTCAAACATTGGATAAGTGCTTTCCACAATTGTAGCAAATGGATAATCAGAAAGATCGTATCTTATATCATATGATATGTCAATCGAGGCACAACCATCATTTCATCCTTCTATAGTCTCATCTTCAATGCTCACAATCCAATCAGCAAACACTGTTAGCTAGTCGCGCTCGTCCGAATCAGAAATTTTATGAAGACACGTGTTTTTTTGTAAGTCGAAGCACAATACAATCCCCACAAATGTTGGAAGCATTGATAGTTGCATTCACAGTGTCCTGGCATCTTCTTTCGAAATGAGTGAAAGGATCTATTGGAAGTCTCCACCAAACACAACAGGCTTGCTTTCGAAGGGCGTGTTACCATTCAAAGTGTCAACTACTCCCATGACAACCTACAGTAATGCTTGAACAACTTTAAAGTAATATATGTGCATCATTAGAGCCTCGTCCCATATGATGAGAGAGCATCGTACTGTGAATTTTGAAAGAGGACTTTCTTAATTGATCTCACATGATGAATTTTCATGAATATTAAACAACATGCGAAATCGAGAATGTGCAGTTCTTCTACCTGGAAACAAAAGTGATGCTATTCACTTGACGCCACACATAAAACAGATTTTACCTTTGATCATAACTCCGCAGATAACGTCCTCTACAAGTACATCTTTCCAGTCTCACCATGACCATATACAAAAAATGCACTACCGGTATCTGAATCAACAAGGGACATAATTTTTTAATAATTCCCTTTATGTTCGTTAGTCACTCTCTTAAGAAGTGCTTTGTGCTCCACAACTAGGGCCTTTCAATCGTAATTTAGCTCATCCAATATAAAGCGGTTTGGAGTGGTCTGAATACTATTTATGTCCAGATAATGAATGGAAGAATATTCACAAAGACATGTGTCACACCTTCGCAATAAAGTCTCAATTTCAGCANNNGGGGGGGGGGGGGGAATTCTTTATAACATCATCAGTGAGTCGTATCTCTAGAAGTTGGCAGACACAATAAATTTGTTACTGATTCATAATAAAATAATGCATACTGTTGAAGAGAAATAAAATATTACAATTAATAAGTCACCGGATAAAGTGAAAGATATATAAAAAAGAAAATTTACCATCGTTATTGAACAGTCGCCGCTGCCTGTAGACAATGCCATCAGATAACAATTGTCACCACCATTCCCATACATCCTCAGGTCCACCCAAAGAACTAGAAACCAATAATGCAAACATACGACTAAGAGACTCCGTAGATGCCCAATGAGTTGCTTCAATTATAGGTCTATATACTCTCTATCACCATTCAACAATCCACGTTCAAAGCAAGTATATTGATAAGTTAGATAGCTGACGTCACTAACTGTTATGTAGTCCTCATGGCATGTAGCACCACAAAAAAACATTTGTCAGAAATCTCAAATAGTAATTATCGCCACAACCAAGATTCACGTGACTTAGGCACCCTATGGTACCATCCTTTATTCGGGGCGTCCACTCTTTTTATTTATTTTTTATTATTATTCTATACAAATTTCGATGGTGTCTCTATATATGTAAGCTCCTTGGCCTCTGGGCACTTCTTAATCGCGTCCATTCACTTAAGAAATTGGCCCTCGTTCATACTTCGTTTATTCACATCATCTCTATCATCATCATCTTCAAAAACAATGTTGTGTTGGTCTTTAAGATGGAAGTCAATCGTTGTATTGACGGCATCGTGTACTGCAACTCAAAACCAAGCAACCGCCTGGCTGCCTCACATGAAGATACATGCCGACAATCATAGTACATGTTGACCTCATCCAAAATTTTTTCAAGATTTCTGTCTGCAGAAGTCTGATAGAATGAGGCGATCACACGATCATTTCTTTTGTTAACTTACTTTAATGAGTATTTTATGATTATGCTTGATAACACCACTCAACATTGAGATGCGCTTTGTGTTTCATTAGCAAACGCATTTGTGAGAATCAATATAACCGTTATTGAGGATGACACCATTTTTTCAATATGTTTACCGTCATCCCGACACCTACAACATGGATACCCATCCTTATCTACCCCGGTAGATTCGATTAACTTTTTTGCAAATCGTTTGCTGCATTTTCTGTTTACCATGCACGTTGAGTTAGTTTGTGCTACACTGTTTAGTAAAGATTTGGTGGGCAAAGGATAACCAAGTTACCTGACTCGGGTCGATCTCGAGGGAAGGCGATTCGGAGCTTTATCTACTAGTTGATCGTCCCAAAACACACAAAAAGAGAAAATAAAGTCTTAAACATTCTAAGAAATTGGATTGGAGGATGATTATCACTAAACGAGCACTAGAAAACGAGCAATTACTAAGAGAAAGATCGAATCACGAGCAAGTAGCAAACTAGATCATCAGAGTCTCATGCCATAACCATAACGAGATGATAATCAATCGACATAAGGAATAAACGAGCTATAAGCATTACATTGCTAACCCTAGTCATCTAACCCTAAGTGATTAAGCCCTAATCGGGTCTTAATCCTTAACAAGATCAACAAGCAATTAACCCCTCTATCTACTCAAGCCTGCAATCAAGTCTCGACCTTGCCACCATCATCAATTACATCCAAATTTACCCTAATAAACATTATAAGTAAAAAAGAGCAAAAACCGAAGTAAAGAGCTTTAAAACTAAATATTCATCCTTCCATTGCGTAGACGATGAAAAACGGAGTCAAGAGCTCGAAACTTGAAAGAAACCAAAGTCGTCAGAAAATCTCCCAAAAAATAGCATAAGCTCCTAATCTAGAGAGCAAAACATAAACATAAGCTAGTACCAAAAGGGAAAAATAAAATAATGAAGGTTGGATGTTCAAAATGCAAAGGAACAAAAATATATATAGTCTAGCCCCAACACACACTAGAAAAACGCACATTTAATAGCACACTCCCGAGCTCTCCACATTTTCCGTGAGCTCGCAGGTATAGGTTGGTGCGGGCGCGCACGGGCGCACGGGTGAAGCGCGGGGATGTGCAGCACTCTCGATAGCGCGGAAGGATTCGCGTGCGCGTGCAGGCAAGTGGCGGCACTCTCGATCTCGCCGGGAAATCCGCGATTGCGCGGCGTGCTGGGAAGGAACACTCACGAGCTCGCTGGGAATTCCGCAAGCACACGAGCGCGGGTACTGGCGCGGAGGCGCGCAGATGCGCGGGCATGTGGCCACGCGGGCGTGCGGGTACGCGGGCACTCTCGATCTCGCCATGCTTTCCGCGAGTGCGCGGGGCAGTGCGTGCACGATTGGCTGCTGTTGTGCGTCTGCGAGTACGTGGGCTAAGGCGCAACTACACGAGTGCAGGCCAACAAGGTAGTCTCGTCGAGGGCTTGTCCTACTCGGGCAAGAAATAACTCGTATGAAATGGCTCGATTTGACTTGGAATTTGACTTTGTAATACTTGTCTCAATTCTCCTCGTTCATTCTCCTTACTAATCTGAAATTTCATCACAAAGCACGGAAAAGTATGGCAAAATATAAAATAACACGAAAGACACAAAAACACACGGAAAACGATAAAATGGACCGATTGACACTAAAACAAACCTAAAACTGACTCGATAACGCACATAAACTCATAAAAATAAGCACAAAAACATAACAAACAACTCCCCCACACTTAACTTTTTGCTTGTCCTCAAGCAAACAAAATAACAAGTAGTTCGAAAGATGAAATCGAACGGTCCAAGATTAACAAACATGCATCATGCAACTCTCATTATCATCCGGTTATTCACAAAACTCAACTCAAATCCGAGTGTACGGTTCCCACATATGAACTCAACAAAATAAAAACAAGCCCAAGTTATTCAATCATGATTCACTCAAGTCAAGCTCCCTTTTTACAACAAACACGTGCAAAAAACTAAAAATGGTCAACTCAATATACAAGATGATAAAAACGAGACCATGAGCCAATTCCCTATTTTTTTTAATATATATATGAGTTACTTTTTCTAAATGAGAGCCGTTAGGACAATTATTACCTAGGTTTATCCTTGGAGGTTATCCCCGAGTTTCCTAGGCCGGTTTCCCATACTCCTTAATCTGGTTTATCTAGAAGACTAACCGAGCCAAGAGAAGTCTAATCCTTTCGACTCTCATGAACTCATTTCCGTGAGCTTCTCTTTCCAAACGAAGTTTCCGGACGAGATGATCTAGTTTCAACCTCGAAGGGTTTCCCCGAGTTTTCTAAACCGGTTTTCCGGGCTCATTATCCCAATCCACGAAGTGGCTCGGAATAAGAGGAGCCTAGTCCGTACTTCCTCGCGAACTCACATTTTATTTCTTTTCTTTTTTTTTAGGGGATGGCGCACAAGAGTACATCACCTACAATATCATAGTCATAACAATCCAATAAAGACATAACTCAAGTGTATAGCATAACACGTTTACACATCATCAAGCACAAGGCAAGCATGATCAAGATCATCAGTCAAGAACGAACAAAGGACACGAAAGTTCCGTGAATCTACATGCGAGTTCCAATGCCAACAAATAATCATCTCATTTTATGAAAACCGTCAAAATCATAGAGCACATAAGGCAAGAGAAATGATAATGAAAACGATCGACAATCCAAACTAGCCACTAGTCATTTGCACTATTGGACTCACATCAAGTCTCATATAGGAAAATCGACACAAAACACAATAAAAACAAACAAAACCAGTCCAAAAAGAAAAATAAAGCACCAAAAACAAAGAAACTATCACCTAAACATGCATAATCACGAAAATCCCTCCCCCACACTTAAAACAAAGCAATGCCCTCATTGCTTGACCAAAAAACATAGGAAAAAACACATAATCATGTAAGTCCATACGATGAAAACGAAAACGAGACACAAAAATCAAAGAAACGAAACAAAAACACTCACAAAGACACGAAAAAAACAAAGAAAGAAAGAGAAAATAAGAAAAAAAAAATGCGTACTCTACACGGTGGTGCACCACCGTGTGGCCAATAGTGGTCGTCCGGAAGGAATAGAGGAGGTCAGCCGAAAGCCATCGAGCTCAAGTGAAGCCACCCGAACGGTTTAGCTTTGAACACATGTAATGATAAGGGTCATACATGTGTGCCCCGGAGAGATGATAACCATGCATGCATAAACTCGACGGAGACACACGTGCATGTGAAAGCTCAAAAATCGGGCCTCGAGGTCCTTGTCGATGCTCGCCATGGCTCGTCACAACCAACTCCTTGATGATGCAACACAATACTCGATTACCGGCGTTTGCCGTAAGTAGGCACCTACAACTCAAAATCCCGGCAAAAACACTTCAGACGACATCCCCGAAGCGAGATATTAAGAAACACTTCGGTCGAGATGAAAGAACGCGACCCCATGGCACTCCCTCCTATATGCCAACCTCATTCCAAGTTATGGGGTAATCAGGCCGAGATCTGCTACAAGCAAGGCCTCTTCCTTGCCGATCTCATTCTCGCACTAATGTAAAAGGAGTTGCCGCCCAAAACCAATTCTCACCTCCTAATAGGATAAGTCACTTGCCCAAGTAGGGAAAGTTGTTAGAACATGTATCGTCATGCATGTCGCTAGCCTCCCGAAAGCTATCATGCGATATTATATTTTAAAGATCTCCCTTTATATAAATAGAGGGTCTGGAGGCTTCAAAGATCATCGAATTCTAGATATATTTCCTCCCTATACCAATCTCTACATCAATAAGCTCTCAAGCTCTCCATTATTTTTTCAGTTCTCCATAAACTATACTTGTATTTCTTGCTTCCCCAGCTTTCGAAAGGATGTCGTGTAAAACAAGCCCAAGAGCGGCTCAATCCATGAATTAAATCATCGGTACAGACATCACTAATTAGTCAACAATATAAACTATACTTTGCCATTTTGTTATTTTCACGCTAAAAATCTATCGATACATTACTCATAGTTTTAATAACACATTATCATAATTTAAGAAAAATGCTCACCTACCCACCGTGAGCACATGTTAATATGCCCACCGCGTAGGTGACATGCGGTGATGTAATTTTTTAAACATATTAACATCACCAATGAGTGGATGCCACCTACGCGGTGGGCATATTAACATGTGCCCACCGTGGGTAGAAGAGCATTTCTACATAATTTAAATGACACAATGTCGCTTTGTTGGTCGCGTTGGCAAAAACAAACGTCAACACACAATATTTAATTTATAAAACTAATTTTAATATTAACACGATATTTATTTTTATAGAACAATTTGTAATATTACGTTCTCGCATCTTAACCATAATAAATTATTTTTTTATACTTCTATCCCGAGTAGGGTGCATACCAATTTTGTAGTAAGAAAACATTTGAAATACAACCTTTAGGGGTTGTAGATAATATGATTGCATGTGCAACACAACTTCTAAGACAATACAAATGTTGAGAAAAAAAGTTAATAATGTTCCAACACAAATAATCAACAGCAGAACCAGAAACAAACTTCAACTTTTGATACTCATTCACTGATAACATAAAAAAGAGAAGAACACAACAAACTAGCATCTCAAGAGTTTGAACTTGAAAAAAAAAACAGAAAAAAACCAACATGGTGAATAACTTAAGACAAGTTCCCTTGTGAAAAGTACTTAACCAAAACACATAGATAAAAGGTTGCTAGAGAAACATTGTCTACAACTATTTTTTCTTTCAAAATCCAGTTTAACATGACTTCTCCAAGAGCTTCTCGATGAGATCGGCCGCATCTTGAACGGTGGTGATGCTCTGGGCACTTTCTTCCTCCACAGAAATTCCAAACTCCTCCTCGAGTCCCATCACAATCTCAACCTAACCAAATAAAATTCATCAAAATATCAACTAGCCTTACAAAAAAACTGGTACTAACAAAGCCAAATTAGCAGGTCAATTTTAATCAAGACTTTGATTGCATGGATAAGTCAGAAACATATTCTCTTCATCCTCATGCCTCAAGCTTTCAAAATTGGTAGAAGAAAGATTAACCTTTTTAAGCTTGCCAAATGCATACCCAACAGCCTTGTTTGAATATCATATACAATGCGTGCAATCGCGAAAAGAAAATTCCTCTGTATATATAAATGCTTATATATATAGTTTCTGAGCCTAAGTGTTCGTATTTTGTAATACTATGGTCTTTTTGTGTTTCGTAACACTATATGTCAAATTCTGGTGCTTCCGAGTAGTTCGTGTCGATTCATTGTATCCGTTCTTATTAGAGCATTCAATAATTAAGAACTTCTAAAATTATAAAGCATCTTGACAACTTATAGTATAAATATATTTTGAAACTTAATATTTTTTTTAGTTATCATTTTTCCATACTGACATACATTATATATATCAAATTAGTCATGATTCAACAATCTTCGATTTCACATACATATTGCATGTATAAAATATATCCCACCTTTATAAATAAAAAAAAAATATGTTTTTAAAACAATTCTAGTTGGAAAATAATAAATTTATTATTTATTAATTAATAAAATTTATCTATGACACCTATTATATGAAAAACTATTTCACTATACAACAACGAGTTTTACAGGGTGTCAATTAAAAAAAAAAAAAGCATTACGAAAAAAATGAATATTTTAACCTTTTTTTTCAATTTGAAGTATAAATTTTCAAGTAACGGGTGTGTATGTTGTACTACGACTAATAAATATTTAATCAGACGACAATCATATAATATATATATATATATGAAAAGATATATCTTGTTGCGACAGTAACTGAATATTGCGGAGCGGAAAGTAAGCAACCATTACTGCATGATGTTTGAAGAATAAATACTCGAGTAAAAACTAAAAACTGTGTATTCATTGAGTAGGAAGGAGAGTTTGAACATCATATCATGTATAAAGATAAAAAGCTCATCAAAAGGGACCTTATTCATCCCATGGTAGTCCCAATAGACACAACAACGTTAATGATTGGCGCAACATCATCAAGAAAGATAATTATTTGTGAAGTATCAACATTACGTGTGGCATATTGAAAAAACATGCCAAAATGGGAAGATTTTGATAGAAATACAGTGCCCAATATTATGAAAAACTTAATAAGTCGTAATTATGGTAATAGGGGTTTTAACATTATGGAAGTTAGCTACTATTGGTGGTGAGTTATATAGGTTGATGGCTTGATCAGAAAGCAAACAAAAGATGTGACAACCCTGGTACTAAGGTTACTAGTTTAAAAAAAAAAAAAAGTAAGATTTCTTAATCAGGCTATTAGATTAACTAAAAAGAAGTAACAAATTTTTAGAGTAAACCTGAGGGGGTTCGGTGTTTTTTGATAAATAAGCCTGGGCAGAACTTAACCCAAAAAACTAGCTCAAAGTGAGAGGGTGCCCAACCCACACTTGTACACAATAACAGCCCAATAACTAATCCATGTGGGACAAACATAACTTCCAACATTCTTTTTCCCTAAATAATATAGTTCGTTCTAATTTCTGCTAAGTTCGTGTTAGATTTTGTAATTATAACTTAGTAGCGAGAGTAAAAGAATTACCGTGTCAAGAGAATCAGCACCAAGCGTAGCAAATTTTGACTCTCCACTGACTTCACTATCGTCAGGCAGGGCTAGTTGTTTTTTCACAATTTTGACTACTTTGTTTACGGTCTCTGGTTTGGCCTATTCCAAAAGGGGGAAAAAATCCAGAGTGAGTCATCAATAATCTGAACTGAAAATTTTAGTATAAGTCGTTACAGAAAATTCTGAGTGACTCTAGATTAAAAACACCAAAAAACAATATATAGTGCTGCAAGGAAACGTACTGCACAAGCAACTCGGAAACGAAGAGCAGGAACTCTACGAGATGACAAGTCCTTCCCAGTAAATGAAAGTGAAGCCTTCCTCAAATTCGAGACCTGTCAAGTGGAAAACTCTAAAACTGAGTGGGGCCATGGTTTCAGGCAAATTCGTTGAATAATCCCATGGATTGCAATCAAACTAATAGTTTCAACATTATTTGAGCATTTTTAGTTGACTCCTGCATTACATCTGCATTCTTTTTTGAACATCTTTAGTGATAACAGAGCAGCAAATACACAAAAGAATCAGAACTTCTCATCACTTCTTCTTAAACATAAGTTTACAATTTAAAATCCATTGAGGGTAGGAAGGGATCGGCCGTCATCGGGAGTCAAACCCATTCCACTAGCTTAGAAACCAACACATTACAAATGAGCTACACTATCGGTAAGCCCATACAAAGATAAAAGAAAGTATATAACACAAGTCAAGAGACTAAATATAGGTACACAATCTTCAACATATGTGGACATATCCGGAGAAGACTTAATTCAGGAGCTTAGAGCAATCAACACTACATACATGAATGAACTCAAAATTTAAGGAAGTGTTTCGCAAAATGGACACTCTCGGTCGAAAGGTAATTCCCTACTTTATCACAACTTGCCCGAAAAGGACTAATCCCCATAGCACAAAAGTCGGATAATTTTAAACTACCGAGTAAGATAACTCATTGCTAAAAAAGCTTGATACCCATAAACAATAAAGTGGGTTTCATATTCAGTAATTTCTAAATCAGGAAACAGTAGGAGAGCTCGCACCGGCTCATGAAAAAGATTAGATTTTTAGTTCAGAAACTAACAATTAACTAAAAGAACTGAAGCTTTTACCGTTCAAAAAATGTCAATACAAAATCTAATAACGGATGAATCAATTTCCACCAGAAAACCGAACAAATTGATTCATCAGAAATTTTATGAGCAAAATCATGCAACAAAGAGCTCGATGACCCAATTATATGCTTCGTAATAACTAACGACCTGCAATACAGATAGAATCAGATAATGGGGTAGAAAGAAAAGCCTCGATGACTAAGAGATCGTAGATCACTGCTCAAGATAAACAGAATGTATGTGCATTAAACTCAGATACAGAGAAAAACAAATCGAACAAGCTGAAAACTCGAGAGATCTCAGAGAACGCTACCTGGTTATGCTTCAGTGAGCAAGAAACAGCGGAGAACGAAACATGGGAGGCAGCGAAAGAAGCCATCGTTTATGGGATTGAAAAATAGATCTGAGGAAAAAAAGAGAAGAAAAGGAATTAGGGAGAAGCGAGGGTGGCGGAGAGTACGAAGTGTGTGATATATGAGTATGGTTTGAAGAGGCTGGAATTTGGGAGAGTGCAAGACTGGTGTAGTGTGTGGTTATATTGGGAAAATTCGATCCTACTCGTGTGGGCACTGCCCACATGGGCCACATGGAAATTTTTACCATTGATTTCACATATACCTACTCATGTGAGTGTGTATGTGTTTATATAAATCAATGGTAAAAAACCCATGTGGGTGGTAGGATCGAATCTATCGTTATATTGAATATAGATCTGGCAATTTTTTTTATTTTATTTTTTAATTAGTGTTCTTACTTTTCCTTCTTGGTGACTAGACGTGTCAGTAAAGGTGTGATTAGATATGAATTTTAACTGATTTTAATTTTTTGGTTTATCATAGTTAATAGTACAACACCCGTGTATTACACGGGTGCTTGTTAAAAAATTATTCTTAAATTTTAAAATAAATGAGAAAATTTTATTAAATTTAGTTTACTTTTTTACAAAAAGAATATATTACTATATATTTTAGAATGATATTTGTTACTTATGACTTACATGTGTTATATTATATTAGTTTTTATAACTTATATCATATAACTACTTGAAATATAAATATATTAGTTGATAAATAATTTTATTTTTCTAATTAATATTAAAAATAATTTTATTATTGTTATAAAGATAAATATAAATTATTTTTTTATACATACAATATGAATGTTAAATCGAAGCTCATCAAAAGAAGATTAATTTGATATATTATATATGTAAAACTGATAAAAAATACAAAAGTTATTAACTTTTAAAATGCATATACAATTCAATAGTTATAATAAGGAATGATATTAAAATGCAATTAATGCATGTAACACGACCATAAATAATCAACATATTTATGGTAATCTGAACCTAATTATTTTTTGTTTGGAATTAAATTAAAATTTATCCAAGCCTAATAACGAAGCATGTAATTTTGGCACATAGGATTCTGAAGCACCAGAAACATCCACGTAGGCTCAGCGCGTTCTGGATTAATATATAGGGGGATTTTAAAATAAGAAGTATGGTTATTTGTTTGTGTAATCTTGAGTTTACATTAAATAATATTTAAAATAAATTTATTAAAGTTGATTTGTTGTAAAAATAAAATGATTGTTAATTAAAATTATATTCATTGGATGAATGGTAAATTAAAATTGATGTGTATTGTTACTTCTCTTTTATCTCTATTCTATAAAGGTTGTGCCACCCAAACCAACAAAGAGAAGTCCAATCCATCCCATCGCAAGCAACTATCATGATCACATTGGTTTACTCTTGTTTTTTTAGTAGTTTAACAGACGGTCGATCTTCCAACAAGAAAATATATAAATATGGAAACTTCTCTGCCTTTTTTTTCCGAAATGATAGGAATTTTATAACGAAAACACGTAATTACAACTAGAACACGGTCATAAGTCGAATCTAGTAGGAGGACATCCAAAAAAGAGTTTAAACACCACAACGCACCCACGATAATACTAACTCCCAATAGAAGAATCTAGACCTCAAAAGGATAATAAAACAAAGCTAACTCCCAACAGAAGAATCTAAATCTCAAAAAGGATAATAACACTAACACATAAAACACAGAGAAACACAAAAAAAAAAAAAAAAAAAAAAAA